ATCCATATCCCACTGTTCATCCAGGGAAGAGTCACCTCCCTGCTGCCCCTGGGATGGGGACTTCCACGGGATGATCCTGGTGCCATCCCAAACCTCAGGATTTGGATCATCCTCCACGTTCCTCAGGATTCCCAGAATCCCACCCCATCCCAAGAAGGGTCACCTCTTCCTGGGACAGCCCCACATCCATGGGATGATCCCGGTGCCATCCAAAACCTCAGGGTTTGGGTCCTCCTCCACATTCCTCAGGATTCCCAAAATCCCACCCCATCCCACGAAGAGTCACCTCTGTGCTCTCCCAGGGATCCACATCCACGGGATGATCCCAGCCCATCCCAGACCTCAGGGTTTGGATCCTCCTCCACATTCCACAGGATCAGGATTCCCGAAATTCCCACAAAGAGTCACCTCCCTGCTGTCCCTGATATCCACATCCATGGGATGATCCCGGCCCATCCCAGACCTCAGAGCGGGGGTTTGGGTCCTCCTCCACATTCCTTGGGATCAGGTTTCCCAAATTCCCACCCCATCCCAAGAAGGGTCACCTCCCTGCTGTCCCAGGGATCCACATCCATGGGATGATCCCGGCCCATCCCAGACCTCAGCCGGGATTGCTTGGCCCCTTCTCCCTGTTCCTCGGGATCAGGATTCCCGAAATTCCCACGAAGAGTCACCTCCCTGCTGTCCCAGGGATCCGCATCCACGGGATGATCCTGGTGCCATCCCAGACCTCAGAGCGGGGATTTGGGTCCTCCTCCACGTTCCTTGGGATCAGGATTCCCAGAATCCCACCCCATCCCAAGAAGGGTCACCTCTTCCTGGGACAGCCCCACATCCATGGGATGATCCCGGTGCCATCCAAAACCTCAGGGTTTGGGTCCTCCTCCACATTCCTCAGGATTCCCAAAACCCGGGCCCCGGAGCGGCTCCGCGCCTCGCGACGTCGGGTTCCGCCGCTCGGCCGCCGCGGCGCGTGGATCCGCCGGGAATCCTGCTCCAGGCTGGAGTTCGGCGGCGCCAGGCCCCGGCCCCGGCCGCCCGGGGACGCGGAGCCGTTCTCCAGCCCCGCGGAGATGGAGGAGCCCGGGCCTGGCTCCGGGATTCGCTCCAGCAGCGCTTCCCGGAGCTCCGACGGCTCCCGCTGCAGCACCGCCGCGTCCTGGGACACGGAGCCGTGCCCGGAGCTCCTCCCGCCTGAGCCGGGGACAGGATCCGGCCGTTATCCCAAAGTCCGTTTATCCCGGTACCCTGTTATCCCGTTACCCCGTTATCCTGGTATCCCGTTATCCCATTACCCCGTTTTCCTCACTATCCCATTATCCTGTTATCCCATTACCCTGTTTTCCTCACTATCCCAGTATCCTGGTATCCCGTTATCCCACTATCCTCCTATCCCATTACCCCATTATCCCGCTATCCCGCTATCCCATTACCCTGCTATCCCATTACCCCATTATCCCGCTATCCCGTTATCCTGCTATCCCGCTATCCCATTACCCTGCTATCCCATTACCCCATTATCCCGCTATCCCGTTATCCCGCTATCCTGCTATCCCATTACCCTGCTATCCCATTACCCCATTATCCTGCTATCCCGTTATCCCATTACCCCGTTTTCCTCACTATCCCACTATCCTGTTACCCCATTATCCCACTATCCTGCTATCCCATTACCCTGTTACCGTGTTATCCCTTTTTCCTGTTATCCCATTACCCCATGATCCCGTTGTTACCCCATTACCCATTATCCCGTTACCCCACTATCCTGTTATCCCGTTATCCCGAAATCCTGCTATCACATTACCCCGTTATCCCATTATCCCAATATCCCATTGTTATCCCGTTGCCATCCCGTCGTTATCCCGTTGTTATCCTGTTGTTATCCCATCGTCATCCTGTCATTATCCCATTATCCCGTTGTTATCCCGTTGCTATCCCATCGTTATCCTGTCGTTATCCCGTTGTTATCCCGTTGCTATCCCATCATTATCCCATCGTCATCCCGTCATTATCCCATCGTTATCCTGTCGTTATCCCGTTGTTATCCCGTTGCTATCCCATCATTATCCCATCGTTATCCTGTCGTTATCCCATCGTCATCCCGTCATTATCCCGTTGTTATCCCGTTGTTATCCCATTATCCCAGTATCCTGTTGTTATCCCGTTGCTATCCCATCGTTATCCCTTCACCCCATCGTTGTCCCGTTGCTATCCCATCGTTATCGCACTGTTATCCCATCATTATCCCATTGTTATCCTGTCGTTATCCCATCGTTATCCCGTCATTATCCCATTGTTATCCTGTCGTTATCCCGTCGTCATCTCCTCATTATCCCATTATCCCACTATCCCGTCATCATTCCATTATCCCGTTGTTATCCTGTCATTAACCCATCGTTATCCCGTCATTTTCCCATTGTTATCCCATCGTTATGCCATTGCCATCCCATCGTTATCCCGTCGTTATCCCGTTGTTATCCCATTATTATCCCGTTACCCCATTATCCCATTATGCCCTTATCCCATTTTCCTGTTGTCCCGTTTCTATCCCATCCTTATCCCATCCTTATCCCGTTGCTATCCTCATTATCCCGTCGTTATCCCGTTGTTATCCCGGCCCCATTCCCAATCCCAGAGCACTCCCGTTCCCGTTCCCTGGCCGGATCCCGCTCCAGGCCAAAGGGGAACGGGAGCAGCTTGGGCCCCGGGATGGAGCCCGGAGGGCCCTTCCCACCCAAATCCTTCGGAATTCCAGGATTCCATGATCCCAGAAATGGGCACTGGGACAATTCCAGCCTGATACCCAAATCCTTCGAATTCCAGGATTCCAGGATTCCATGATCCCAGAAACAGGCACTGGGACAATTCCAGCCTGATTCCAAATCCCTTCCTGGGTTTGGGATGGGATTCCTGGCTCTGGGATGAGTCACCTCCCTGCTGTCCCTGGGATCCGCATCCAGGGACAGCCCCACTGGATCCATGGGGTGATCCTGGTCCCATCCCAAACCTCAGAGTGGGGACTTGGATCCTCCTCCACGTTCCACAGGATCAGGATTCCCGAAATTCCCAAGAAGAGTCACCTCCCTGCTGTCCCTGATATCCACATCCATGGGATGATCCCGGTGCCATCCAAAACCTCAGGGTTTGGGTCCTCCTCCACATTCCTTGGGATCAGGATTCCCAGAATCCCACCCCATCCCAAGGGTCACCTCCGTGCTGCCCCAGGGATCCGCATCCATGGGATGATCCCAGTGCCATCCAAAACCTCAGGGTTTGGATCATCCTCCACGTTCCACAGGATTAGGATTCCCGAAATTCCCAAGGAGAGTCACCTCCCTGCTGTCCCTGATATCCACATCCACGGGATGATCCCAGTGCCATCCCAGACCTCAGGGTTTGGATCCTCCTCCACATTCCTTGGGATCAGGATTCCCAAAATCCCACCCCATCCCACGAAGAGGGCCTCGCCATTCCAGCCGCAGCGCCGGCTCCCGCGTCCCGTTGGAATTCCGCATTCCACCCGGGCCCCGGAGCGGCTCCGCGCCTCGCGACGTCGGGTTCCGCCGCTCGGCCGCCGCGGCGCGTGGATCCGCCGGGAATCCTGCTCCAGGCTGGAGTTCGGCGGCGCCAGGCCCCGGCCCCGGCCGCCCGGGGACGCGGAGCCGTTCTCCAGCCCCGCGGAGATGGAGGAGCCCGGGCCTGGCTCCGGGATTCGCTCCAGCAGCGCTTCCCGGAGCTCCGACGGCTCCCGCTGCAGCACCGCCGCGTCCTGGGACACGGAGCCGTGCCCGGAGCTCCTCCCGCCTGAGCCGGGGACAGGATCCGGCCGTTATCCCAAAGTCCGTTTATCCCGGTACCCTGTTATCCCGTTACCTCATTATCCCGCTCCTCCCGCCTGAGCCGGGGACAGGATCCGGCCGTTATCCCAAAGTCCGTTTATCCCGGTACCCTGTTATCCCGTTACCCCGTTATCCTGGTATCCCGTTATCCCATTACCCCGTTTTCCTCACTATCCCATTATCCTGTTATCCCATTACCCTGTTTTCCTCACTATCCCAGTATCCTGGTATCCCGTTATCCCACTATCCTCGGAATGGTCCCTGGATCCGGGGGTGGTTCTGGTGATCCCAGGGCAGGGATGGGATTCCCGTGGGATCGGGATCATCCCGAGGTCCCTCAGCCCCCCCCTCCCCACTCAGGGAATGAAAAAATCCCGGGAATCTGAAGGAGAAGAGCTCCCTCGGGCTGTGTCCTCAGCTCATTCCCGGATTTCAGGGATCCCAGGATCCTCCTCCTCATCATCCCCATCCCCGGGAATTCCCAGCCCCTGGAGCTGATCCCAAATCCCCGCTCCGGGATTTCCCGGCAGGTGGATCCCACTTTGGGATTCCTGGGATTTCGACCCCTCAGGGCTCCTCCCCCACCCCAGTTTTTCCAGAATTCCGGGGTTTTAGGGGTCAGAGGGGCTTGGGGAGCCTCAAGTGGGGAAAAATGGGAAAGGGGGATCCGGAACCTTCGGAAGGAGCTCGGGAAAAGCCCCTGGAAAAATTCAAATTGGGAATTTAATTGGGATTCCAATAGGGATTGTAATTGGGATTCGAACTGGGATTCAAATTGGGAATTTAATTAGGATTCGAACTGGGATTTTAATTGAGACTCAAATTGGGATTGGAATTGGAATTGGGATTCAAATTGGAATTCAAATTGGGTTTTGAATTGGGATTCTAATTGGGATTCAAATTGGGATTTGAATTGGGATTCTGATTGGGATTTTAACTGGAATTCAGATTGGGATTTCAGCCCCCAAAATTCCCTGGATGTGGGGGTGGATTCCTTAGAAACTCCCGCTGGAATGTGAGGAGGAGGAAGGACCTTGGGGCTGTGGAGATATCCCAAAGAATTCACAAAGAATTCCCAAGGATTTAACCCCGTCCTGCCCAGAGCCGGCGGGAACGGGACGGCAGGAGCAGGAAAAGCCAAGGCTGGAGTTTAAACTCGGTTTTAATGAAGGCACAAGAGGTAGAAACAGAGGGAAAACATCCCGGGGGGAAAGCATTCCATAAAAAACATTCCAGTGGAAAAACATCCCATAAAAAAACATTCCAGTGGAAAAACATCCCATAAAAAACATTCCAGTGGAAAAACATCCCATAAAAAACATTCCAGTGGAAAAACATCCCATAAAAAACGTTCCAGTGGAAAAACATCCCAAGGAAAACATTCCAGGGGAAAAATTCCGGGGAAAACATCCCGGGGGAACATTTCCCTGCCAGTGGAGCAGGAGGTTGAGCCAGGCTTAGTCCGGCCTGAAATCTCTCCCGGGCCTAAACGTGCCCCAGTCCTGGCTTAAAGCTTCATTGGTTCTGAAAGGTCCCAAATCCAGCCTAAAACCTGTCCCAGTCTGGCCTAGAACCTGTCCCAGTCTGACCTAAAACCTCCCACAGTCTGGCCTAGAACCTGTCCCAGTCTGACCTAAAACCTCCCACAGTCTGGCCTAGAACCTGTCCCAGTCTGGCCTAGAACCTGTCCCAGTCTGGCCTAGTCCCATAAAAAAACATTCCAGTGGAAAAACATCCCATAAAAAAACATTCCAGTGGAAAAACATCCCATAAAAAACATTCCAGTGGAAAAACATCCCATAAAAAACATTCCAGTGGAAAAACATCCCATAAAAAAACATTCCAGTGGAAAAACATCCCATAAAAAAACATTCCAGTGGAAAAACATCCCATAAAAAAACATTCCAGTGGAAAAACATCCCATAAAAAACATTCCAGTGGAAAAACATCCCATAAAAAACATTCCAGTGGAAAAACATCCCATAAAAAAACATTCCAGTGGAAAAACATCCCATAAAAAAACATTCCAGTGGAAAAACATCCCATAAAAAAACATTCCAGTGGAAAAACATCCCATAAAAAACATTCCAGTGGAAAAACATCCCATAAAAAACATTCCAGTGGAAAAACATCCCATAAAAAAACATTCCAGTGGAAAAACATCCCATAAAAAAACATTCCAGTGGAAAAACATCCCATAAAAAAACATTCCAGTGGAAAAACATCCCATAAAAAACATTCCAGTGGAAAAACATCCCATAAAAAACATTCCAGTGGAAAAAGCATTCCATAAAAAACATTCCAGTGGAAAAACATCCCATAAAAAAACATTCCAGTGGAAAAACATCCCATAAAAAACATTCCAGTGGAAAAACATCCCATAAAAAACATTCCAGTGGAAAAACATCCCATAAAAAACGTTCCAGTGGAAAAACATCCCAAGGAAAACATTCCAGGGGAAAAATTCCGCAGTCCCGCCTAGAACCTGTCCCAGTCCCGCCTAGAACCTGTCCCAGTCCCGCCTAAAACCTCCCACAGTCTGGCCTAAAAGCCCCTCAGTTCAGCCTAAAACCTTCACCACTTCTAAAACCTCACTCAGTCCCACCTAAAACCTCTCCCAGGCCTAAAAGTCCCTCAGTCCTGACTTAATCTTCACCGGTTCTAAAAGGTCCCAAATCCCAGCTAAAATCCACCCCAGTCCTGCTTAGAAGCACCCAGTCCTGTCTAAAACCTCTCCCAGGCCTAAAACTCTGCCCAGTAAAGCCCCCAGCCCCCCCTAAAGCCCCCCAGTCCTGCCCAAAGCCCCCAGCCCCGCCTAAAGCCCCCCAGTCCTGCCCAAAGCCCCCCAGTCCTGCCCAAAGCTCTCCCAGTGCAGCTCAAAGCTCTGCCAGCCCTAAGCCCAGCCCAGGTCCCGCCTAAATCCCCCGGCGCAGCCTAACCTCCCCCAGCCCCTCCCAGCGGGGCCCGGATCCGGCACATCCCAGTCCCGGATCCCAGATCCCAGTCCTGGGTCCCGGATCCCAAATCCCAATCCCGGCTCCCTGATCCTGATCCAGAATCCAGGATCTCAATTCTGATCCCAGCTCCCAACCCTGGCTCCTGGATCCCAACCCTAATCCCAATCCCAATCCTGGCTCCTGATCCCAGATCCCAATCCTGGCTCCTGGATCCCAATCCCAACCCCAGCTCCCAATCCTGGCTCCCAGATCCCAATCCCAGCTCCTAGCAGAGCGCCTTCTTCACATGCTCCCGGTATCCCGGCAGGAGCTGCATCCCGCGCAGCCACGAGAGCTCGTTCTCATTCCCACTCCCACTCCCGTTCCCATTCCCATTCCCATTCCCACTCCCGTTCCCATTCCCATTCGCATTCCCACTCCCACCCAACTTCCCATTCCCGTTCCCGTTCCCATTCCCATTCCCGGAGCCTCCCCAGCGCACTTCCAGCGGCAGCTCGGGGTCGCAGAGCAGCGTGCCCAGCTGCTCCTCCCGCACCCACTGCGCCGCCATTCCCGCCCGGATCAGCGGCAGCTCCGCCGCCCAGCCCCGCCCGAGCGCCCGCGCCACCCGCGGCGCCCGAACGCCTCCCGCAGCAGCACCCGCGACGCCTCGGCCTGGCAGGGCTGCCGCAGCGCGAAGGCGTCCGGCCAGCCCGACAGCGCGTCCTGCACCAGCAGCAGCGCCCGGAACCCCTCCGGGCCGGCGGGCGGCACGGCGCAGAGGCTGATCTGCAGCCGGGACCACGGGCCCTGCTCCCGCTGCGGCGCCGGCTCGGGGCGGCGGCCG